CATAAAAACATCCCCAAAGCCTTGCTCTGACTCATTCATGCATGTTTGAGAAATCCTGCAGCGTTTTTAGGAAGCCTCATCACTCCACACACCTCCCCACCCCCCACTCCACACACCCCACACATGACTCCTGCAGGCTCTCGGCAGTAACAAAGTAAAGTGAAAGTGAAACTGAACTGTCTGCTGCTCTTAACACTTCTCACTCAGTGAAGCTCTTTTCAGATTCAAAAATACCTTTGAGAAAATGTATTTTCAGATGCCAAGTAAACTGCATCATAGCGCGTGCGTGTGCCCCCCTGGAACAGAAGCAGGAGGAGGTTATTAAAGAGACAGAGGCCAATTTCAAGGCGTTTAGAAGAGGAATTGTTGAGATGATAAGTTTATTTTCTATTTAAACATAAAAACAGCATTTTCATAACAGCAAAAGGTGACATAGATACTTTATTATGGTATAGTATTTAAATGTATGCCTGAGAAACACATATTATTTCCCATTTAAAGTGAAAAAAGACTCAAAATTAGTAGAATGATCTGAAAATTAGTCTGGAAAATCAATATATTTAATATAAAAACACACACACGGATACATCCACACAGGACACATTGTGCCATTACAAGGCACCAGCCTTAGGGACATTAACCACAGCTTTTAAGATAAAACAAATATAAAGGACAGAGCCCACTGATTGGATATCAACCATTACYAACACACACAAACACACTTTCTTTCACACACAGAATTGTTCACATACTGAAACTCAGGTAAACTTGCTTACTCTTAAASCCTAATCTGGTCAAAATAAGTACAAATTTCTTAGTTAATAACAATCTTAGCACTTATTGGTCACCATAAAGTCTGAAGTTAAAGTGATCCTTATGAAGTGAGCTGCTGGTCTGTATAAACACACCATCTAGAGATTTTATTTGTCAAGAAAAGCTAAAATTGTGGTTTGGTCTATTTTGATTGGCCACAAGATATTTGACCAGATATGTTACCTCCAAGAGCTCAAAGTGTATTTAGCACACAGAAACCCTTTTAGTAGCAGGTTCAGTCTGTACCTGAACACAAATTATCTTCTCCTAAACACACACACACACACAC